CGGATCAAAAATCGAATTTTGGCAGTCGAAAAACGACCAAAATTTTGGGTAAAATTCGACTTTTTTTAAAAAAACGCTGCCATTTTGTCAATTTTTGATTTATTTTTCTATCGTAGTTCATTTTACAGACAATATTATCTAGTTTAACGAGAATTATTTTGTTTTTGATTTCATCCACGTAGAAGGCCGGAATCACTGCAGCAGTTAAGAGCCTTTTTTTGTCGCGTCGTTGGAGATCGACGATAAGTTACAAAATATTTAATTTTTTTCTTCAAAAATTTTACTATGTATACTTAAAACATGTATAAATATATTCCTAAAATTTTGAAATGATTGATAAAGTAGTTTCTTTAATATAAACTCCCAAAAATCACCTTTTTTAGGCGGTTACACTAATTGTGCCCCTTAAAGCAAGTTGCATGATGAACTTCTCGATATGTAAAAATAATTGACTTAATAAGAATTAAGATTTAGCAATTGAGACATCAAAATAGTTTTTGTGACGACAAACTGTTTATTTCAAAAATAACGTTTTTCTCTAAAAACTAATCAATGCAACGTCCTATTTCCAATTTATATCTTTCAAATAAACTTATTATATATGCAATTGTTTTAATTAAATTTAATTTAATGACTCTACGTCAGGTTCTAGAAATGTTTTTCATTTAAGCTTAGATGTCAACTGTCAGTAAAAAAAAAAAAAACAGAACTGAATAAACATGGTACATGTCCATGGCTCATTATTCAAACATCCGTTATTGAATTTTTATAATTAAACCACTTTTCGTATGTTTATAGTATCTTAGGATGTAAATTTAACAATTTATCATAACTTATCACTATGCAAAGTTTCATCAAAATCATCAAAAAAAAAATGACAACTAATTAATCTTTACCAAAAACTAATCAACAAAATCGGTACAGGATGTTTTGCAAAATCGTGGAGCAGAATTTGTGAAACACACTTGCAATTTTCCTGCTAATTCTAAAGAAACGGATCGATGACATATTTTTTTCAATTTCGGGTCAAGCGATTCAGAATGGTTTAAAACGTCAAGAAAACAAAATAAGCAAATTGGCGAAAATATAAACTTCACAGGTCAATTATCTAGTTTATATTTTCAAAGATTGGCGACGATAAAATAAGCCGAAAAATGTATGTATTGAAGTATCAATCAAGCCTTGAAGTAACACGCAGTTCAAAGAAGTATTATCAAGTTTAATGAAGTTTCAACAAATTAAAAGTAAGTCCTTCAAATATTTAAAGAAAAGGCAAAACAGCAATTATATATAATCCTTATTATTATTGTATTGTAGAAATAAATGTCTTTTCTAAAAAAAAAAACGGACTTTGTAATTACGCCATTGATTCACTCACTATGTAATTCATATAAATCAATATAAATGGATTGTTTTCCTCACCATTGATGTAATCCTTCGGCGATCTCCTTCCAGTAACGATACTGCCGTAATCGTTGTGCGAAATAATTACGCCATTGTTGATGATCATAGGTGAATTATGTTTCGCGCCATTATGTGTTACAGAAGTGTGTTTTCCGGTACTATTTATTAAGGAATTATGTTTAGGTGTACCAATATTATTCTTTTTCTCCTCTTCATCCATTTTATATCGGACTTAAAACACTACTGACACAGTTTTAGAAACACACTCACAAGACGTCACGTTCGTTTTACAACCTTCCTATTTCACATTTTGAATCACAGTTCAAGCATCACAAATCGTTATTATTTACTTTTTGCATTTGATTTTGTTCAATAGTCGTGTTCCACTAATAATTAGCTATATCGTTTTATATTTAAATATAGGGCAAAACCCCTTTTTTACAATTTCTAACCTCAAAATCTTTTGTATAGTTGATATTCACGAATACATTCTTTCGGAACATTTATAGATGG